GTGACCCTTACCCATGCAAACATCTAACTAGGCACGGTTCTGGATACGATATAAACTTTCCGACCCTCTGTACTCATGCCATGTCATTAGGGCGGTCGGGCGTTCACCTTAAGTAGCACCTACGTCTAGTCTCTATAAACAGTGTTTAAAACACGCATTCATTATTATTGTCAGGCGTGTTTTATGCTGTTACTGCATGCAATATTACGACATGCTTGTCAAAAACCGTCAACTTCATGCCAAAGGCAATTTCAGATTCTAACTGACGTATTTTATGACTTACTTTTATTTCTACATTTCTTCTCTCACATAGTGGTATAACAAGTGCCCACAAAGGTAGTTCAATTTTTTAAAATGTAGTAAAATCTAACGGAGATATTTCGTGTTAGAAGTCTTAATGTTGGCACAAATCAGACTATCGTTACTATGACGTCCCCTCAACACAACCGTCCCCACAACATCGCCCGTTCCCAGGTTTGCCTCGTGCCGAAGTTACCGAGTCCGTGTAGCTGGTAATGCACGTGTTTGGAGAGTTTGCGCCACGCGCCGCTGGAGTCAAGTGGCTTTGCCTTCATGACGTCCTACTGAGGGGCACAGTCCACCGGTATCCAGAACTGTGCCTGCGGCAAATCTACGTCTTGGATAAGCAGAGACTATCCAGAACCGTGTCTGATCCTAACCTGACCTATTCAGACATTGAGCTAGACAGGTACGGTTATGGATTCGCGGAGGATATAAAGAAACGTGCCTTATTGTAACCCTGAACCATGCAAACATAGAACTAGGCACGTTTCTGGATACGATATAAAGTATATTCTCTGCACTCATGCCATGTCAATCGGCCGGTAGGGCGTTCACCCCAGGTAGCACCTCCGTCTCTATAAACAGAGTGTAAAACACGCACCCAATACTATTGTCAGGGTTACGCTTTATGTTATTACGACATGCAGTGTTACAATTTACATAATCATACTTGTCTTACACCGTCAACCCCATGCCAAAGCGGATTCTAAGTTGAACTTGACCACTGTACAATTTCTTATCTTATAATTTGCTTTTATTAGTAAATTTCTTCTATTACATAGTGGCATAACCAGTCGCCATAAAAATAGTGCAACATTCTAAAACGTATTGATATCCAACAGATATTATACTTTGTGTGAAATTGTCTAAATGTTGGCATCAACCAGGCTATCGACGTCGTTTACTGTGACATCAGATCAAAACCGCCCGTCCCCACAACACCCGCCGTTCCCAGGTTTGCCTCGTGCCGAAGTTACCGAGTCCGAATAGCTGGTAATTGACTTGTTTAGACAGTTTGCGCCACGCGCCGCTGGAGTCAAGGATGTGGCCTGGACTTTGTGTCGTTCTACCGAAGCCCAGACCAATAAGAGGTCTGCATTTTGGCCTCTGATTATAAGACTTTCATCCTGCAGAAGTAGCGCCACAGTCGGGCTCAACCCTACAGACGGACAGGATGTGGAAACTGCTGCTGATCGCGGCTGTAGTCGCCTGGCCGGCCTCGGCACAGGGTAGGTGTCAAATTTGTGTAAGCAGCGTATCAATCAGGAACAACAGTTAGGCTGTTTATCGTTCATTAATTTTCATATTTTGCAACAAACTTTGGGTAGAGAAATAATTGCGCACGATCAGTCGGGACATGTTTAATAAGGACTGCCTAGTTATGGTGATAATCTTTGGGGATGGAGAAAGCGGTTTATCAACAGGCAACAAATATCCGTCACTTTAGAAATAATGGTACGTAGGAAGATGTAACCTGGGGTAAACAGGAAATTGTTTATTTGGCATTGATTCTCTTTACCCTATCTTGACCGTTATTTTTGCATTTCAAATGCTGCGCGTCAAAATGCTATGATATCAGTTGAATATTGGGCCATTGGAACAACAAGCCATTCTGCCATTCGATCATCTGCCAGCCATTTACTAAATGTCGCTAGATGGCACTGTTGATACGTCAACCTGATTGCTGCAATTTTACTACATGTCGCTAGATGTCGCTGTTCACATGTGGCAATGTCTGTACATCGCGGGTACGATTCCCGAAATGTGATTATTTTTGATTGCTCTGTTGGTGTAAGGCGTCCCACGGGTTACCCAAGCAAAGATCTCATTTTAATATGATAATAAGCTACTGTAATATTGTAATGAGCCAACTGCAGCCCGGATGCTTATAAATATGCAACAGTTTGAGTGATAACCCACTGCCTCTGCCCCACCTGCCGTTTTGCATTTGATTTGATCGCGAATTTCATCCCTGCGGAGCCTCTCTTTTGTTACCAATCCCCTGATCAAGCGTAGAACTCATGAGGATTGCATTCATCTTCTTCTTTCTTCTTTACTCATCCTCTTCTGAGGTGCAGCGCGTAAAGTTTTGTCTCCAGTACTTTCTGTCTTTCATAGCAGATAAAAGTTCCACTCCTTGTACACCAGTGTCAGACTGGATAAGACTCTTGAGTGTTGTGATTGGACGCCCACTCCTCTTTTCTGCCTCTGGAGTCCAGAGGAGTAATCGACCCGCTGGTTCTGTACCACGAGTCACATGACCCGCGAGGCTAAGCCGACGTCTTTTCACTACCGTGGTGATGTTTGGGAGTGCTCCATATAACTGTTTGTTCGTCATGTGTTTACACCAGGGTGTGTTGAAACTTGAAACTTGTTATAGACTACCCGCAACATCTTAGTGTAAGTACCGACAAGTTTTTTGGATCTCGTAGTGTTTATGACCCAAGAATCGGACCCGTATAAAAGAATAGCTTCAATACATGCTTGAAATACTTTTGTTTTAGTTTGTTTTCTAAGGCCATGTTGATTTGATTATATGGATGACATCCTCTGGGAACCCCAAAATTGATGCGAGCGAGCGAAAAAAAAAGTTTGGCAAAAAAAGTTGTCTTTATTATGAAATATAAGTGGTCCGGAAGGTTGAATAAATGACTAAACACACAGAGTATGGTGACCAAACAAGAACTTCTTTATTTTCATTTTCTTTACATCTGCAGCTGTCATCCTTCCAGGGACCTGAAGAAAAACAGCATGAAAAGCAGCTGTTAGATATCAACCCTTCTAATATATTAATTTGTTATCCTTAGAAATGTAGTTTCCAAGGAGTTGGTAGATATGATATATGGGCACAAATATGGATGGAAGGGGATGAATACTTAATTTAAATGGATTGGTGCTGATGGGATTATGCTTTTCAACGTAGCACTTTGTGATGATGATGACTGGTTTATTCATATATTCATATATATAAACAGATAAACAAATAAAAGTCTGTGGCAGCCAAAATGGCTGAATTAGCGACTTTTTACAATTTAAAATCAATACAGCCTTACAAATACTGTATATACATGTGGAATACGATTTCAATATTACTATAAAAACAGCCGTTATAACATCCGGAATATTTAAACTTACACATCGTTCAATAACTTTGTCATGAAGTAGATGGAGCTCTTAGTAAATCGAACAGTTCTGTGTCTGAGAGTCTGTAGCTGTTTGCTAGACCTGGTCGTCCTGCCTGATACGGTCTCGCGGCTTGGTGGCAGCCAGTTTCTGTAGATCGGGGATTTCAGCAGCGATTCAGCATACTTCCTGCACAGTTCATGCCGTCGTTGGGAAAGTGTGGATAGGGAGAGTTCAGATAGGGTCGAGCTGTAGTTACTGTAGTTCTGTCCAAGAATGATTCTACATGCTCTCCTCTGTACTCTCTCTATTGACTGGCATTCAGCGACTGTAAGTCCCGGGTGCCACACTTGGCATGCATACTCCAAAACTGGACGTATGAACCCGATGTAGACGAGTACAAGGTCGGCAGTCTTCAACCCGTATTTGTACAGTGTCCTTAACATGTAGAGCCGTCTGCTTCCTTTCCCAACGATCTTTTCGACGTGTTTGGTCCACTTCAGGTTACTCTGCAGTATGACGCCTAGGATGCGTGCAAACTCGACGACCTCCAGCTGTGTGGGACCGACTGTGATCACAGGTGGGGGTGGCGGATGCTTCATAAAACAGAACAGCAGGACTTTACATTTTGACGGGTTCAGGGTCATATGGTTGTCATCAGTCCATCTGACTAAACCGTCGACGTCGTCTTGGATGGCGGGTGCTTTGAGCACGTGTCGTGATTCTAATAATGACAAGTCGTCGACATACTTAAAGGTGTCCGCTGTTAATTCCTCGGCGGGTACGGCGTCGTTGACAAGTGCCAGGAAGACTAACGGCCCTAGTTTGGTGCCTTGTGGTACTCCGCATGTTAGTGTCTGCCAGTCGGACACAACACCTTGATATCTGACCCGCTGGCGTCGCTTAGAGAGAAAGTCAATGATCCAAGGCACGACAGACGGGCGAACCCCTAGGTCGATCAGCTTGTTAATGGCAGTGTTGTGATGGACCAAGTCAAACGCACGTGAGAAATCCGTCAGGACAAGGGTTGACACGTGACTATGTTTATCCGCAGCTTCCAGTAACTTGTGTGTCAGGAGCGTCATGTAATGTGTAGTAGACCGGCCACGAAGTGACCCGTACTGTCGCGAGTCTACACAGGGAAGTATGTCTTGCAGACACCAGTCAGTTACAATACCTTCGCATACCTTTGCAAACACTGATGTTAAAGAGATTGGCCTCAGCTTTGACAGGCTCGGTGGCAACTCCTTGGGAACAGGAATGACGTCAGCGTCCTTCCAAACGTCGGGGACAACACCTTGTTAGAACTGTATTGACAAAGCAAATAAAATAAAAGACACCTTAGTTGCCATCCTCCTCCTCTCTTCTCCTTTTCACCTTCTTTCGTCCCCGGGTTCTCTCCATGATCCCTGCAGATTTGCACACCTACAAGAAAATTGCAAGATGGGAAGAAATCATTTATTGATTGACTTTTACAGTATTTGGATGTCACTACAGTATTTATCTCCAATTTAAGACTGGTTTGAGAAGGGAATTACCATGTATATATTGCTATGAGGATATCTAACCTTCATCAACAAAATATAGTTCTTTCATGTATTAAAATTTGTATGGTTGTGTATGCACACAAAGTAATATCTTCACAGACATTGTACATGATAAATCTGCACAAGTAAATAAAGACTTAAAACCCACCTGACACTCTGGATGAACAGTCTGGAACTGCTGCATCTTCTCTACAGGGATGGGCAGTGTCTCCTCCGCTCCACATTGCCAGCAAACCAACGGAAGGATTGCCCTCAAGGCTGCTGGTGCCTTTAGTCTTGTAGAGTAGTAGTACTGCTCCACTGGCCGGTCACATGATAGAGCCCTGCACAAAACAGGTGTGAACATTAGACATAAGATTAACTTGCTGCAGAAAAAACAGCTACTTTGTGAAACAATAAATCAACTGTCTTACCCATTTAAACAGTTTTGCTATATTTAGTCTACTTCTTGCATCTTTTAAAGTCCAGCTGTAGGTCATACAAAGTACTATTGTGATGAGCTACAATTGTACTACAGCCTCAGAATACTTACTTTGTCAAACAATATAAACTTCACGTACACTAGTACTATAACTCACCTACTCACATAACAGATCTCTCTCAGAGGATGGTTCTCAGGTACCCAGCATACTCCACAGGTGTACATGGAGTCCTCCTTCAGACTGTCCAAGTCTTTCTTCTGTACTGCTGTGAGAGCTCGCTGACTGTGGATTGTTCTGGGTTTCCCACAATCCAAACAAGCCACTACACCTCTGGTGTTTTCCGCACATGGGGAGAATGGCATACCGTGGTCCTTGGCACGTGAATCTTTCAGACTTGGTCTGTATCCCTCAGATGTTGCAGTGCCATACACTTCAATGAACGGCCTGTAGTGCTCCCCAGTACCGTCAGCTACCGGATCTGGAAAGTTTTTCAGTTGGTTGAACACCTCTGGAGGGAGCTTTGGCTTCTTGCATATTGTGCATGCACTGTCGCCACACTTCTTGATGCTGAAGCTGTAATGCCTGGACACACAGCAGTGGTGCATAAATGCCATGAGGTCTTTCTTGTTTTGCACCTTGACCTTGGTGGGGTCACCCTTTGTCAGAGTTTGGACGACCATCAAGATCAGTTCCCACATCTCCTCTACTTCTTGATCTGTGGCAGGCTCGATGGTAGACACTGCTTCACCTTTCAAACTTAGGCGCTGGAAAAGTTCATTCATCATTGCACGTGTCTTCTCTGTGCTTGCTACAAGTGCCTGCTTGAGCTCTGGGTGTTTGTCAGCCATAGCTTTGACATCCTTCATAGTGCCAAGTCCAGCTAGCTTCTCCACTGCAGGAGGCATCTTCTCCCTCATCACACCGATAGCTTGCAATGACAGATTGATAATGCTCATCACCCTTTCCACATGGTTCCGAAAACTCTTTTGCGGGGCAGTTCGAGCACATACAAGCATGTCTAAGTCTGCCATGATGAACATGCATATCAGGGACACCTGTGTGCTGATGTAGGTGAGCCTGTGGTCAGGCCCTCCATCGCTGTATTGACACAATATTGGCAAGCCAAGCTTTCCAGCTTGGGTGAGGATGTGAAAAAGTTCTGTTTGATGTCTGATGGGCGACGAAGGTTGAAACGTTGCGTCCTTCAATGACACGAACACCTTTCCGCGGTAGAATGACTCACTGGCACTTTCAGGAACTTCACAGACAAGTGTCACACTGGGAACAAGTTTCACCTTCGCGAAGTCATGGTCTGCAACAACGAAAACTGTGTCTTGTGCAACTAGTACAGACTTGCCTCTGTCCACGGCAGCTAAGGGGTATCCTGGTTCCCCCACCTTTATGCTGTGCTTGTCATCAAGGCAAACAAATGCGGTGAAGTCTCGGAACATCACTGCAAACTCTTTCAGGTACTTGAAAACAGCGGCCGCATAATGACAGTCGGGTGGTCATGGTTCAGTTGTCTGCTTTGTACCATGTACTTGATTCCCAGCCTACCTGTATAGCGTACAGCTCTATCAGCGTATGGATTTTTAGGCCAAAACTGAAGACTTACCCATGATGGAGAGGGTATCTTTGCTTCCTCAGGAAGCCTCTTGGCCACTTGAGTGATAAAATCCTGGATTGACATTGCCAGTGCCATGTAGCAGACTTGTCCGTGTCGCCTGTCATCAACACTTCTCAGCTGCATTTCTTCTATCACCTTTGCAGCCTCATTCCAGAACTCTGGATAACTTTCCTTCCTCTCATTCAAAGACCTCACTCCACAATGAGGTCTGGGTCCTCTGAATCTAGAAGCATCTTCAGTCTTTGTCTAATGTCTTTGCTCAATGGACACTCTTCTACTGTGGCATCATTCGTCAGATACTGATACATTTCTCTCAGGACAACAGGTGTGGCACTGGTAACCAATGTAAAGCGATCACTGAACTTCTTGTGCATCTCCCTAGTATG